ATCCACGTCAAATTCAAATTTTAAAAAATTTAAATAAATTAATTAATTGAATCAACCAATCATCATCTAGTATTATTTCTTTTTATTTAATAACTGCTCGAGTGTAATCTAAACATATAAATGATAAAATCCATAAAATAAAAAAAAATATTTATGTTAGATGTTTCCCTAAATATAAATTGTAAATTAATGAAAATTTTTTATTATTAAGTAATTAGAACTAACATCGGTGTTGTGAAATAGAATAAACGTTACCATCAATTTATGTGGGATAAATTATACTGTTAGTAATTGAAATGTTCTCCATACCCACAAAATGTTCATAAATTGTAAGAGTTGTATCCAAATTAATTATACACAACATAGATTGATACAAGTAATATCTATCTATTTACATGTGTATATAGAAACGTAACTACATACGCAAAAGTAATGCTAAATGTGTAAATTTCTGCAAAAACGATGTAGCATCGTATATGTAATTAATGCTTTAGATAAAAATTTGAAGTCCCATTTCAACAACTTTGTTGTTGGACAAAAGTAGTTGTAACAAAATAAGATGCACCGAATTAAATTGATATTTTCAGTTTTAGAAACAGTAAATTGATATTTTCTTTTCTTTTTGTGCTCAGCAAGACATGGAGAGAGAGAGAGAGACAGAGAGACAGAGAGAAAGGTTAATGAAGTTGGGTTGAATTACAAGCCCCCGAGAAATATATAAAGATGATTATGAAGCGTCTAGAGAGAAGAGAAAGTTGGATAAACGGTAATATGTTAATCACTTTAAAGTGTACATTAAATGATGCATTGATGTTCCTTCACTCCATCTATCAATATTTATGCACAAATTTTTTTTTTTGGCTTAATATATGTACACATGTGAACACATATATATTGATATTATTACAGAGTTTTCTTTTCTTTTTATTTTTTCATATTGATTTTCTCAACAAACAAACACAATAAAGTACTTTCATTATTGTTCTTGATTTATATCTTCCTCTTATATATTTTACAAACCAAATGTGGCCTCAAAATTATTTGTTCAAATAGAATTCGGAAACAAAGGTCTGCAAGCTTAGAAAGGTTAATTGGTGCTTGGAACATGTCTACGTTGCAAAGTACAAGTCTTATTGGATGAATGGATGCTAATTATATCAATTAATAATAATTGAAGAGTAAAGATCAATCTATCATAGCGAGCATGTATATTATTAAAAATAATGAAGAAGTAATATTTTAACTCAGAGTCCATATCTTTCTCTTATCCTCGTGTAGCTTAACATCCATTTACGTGAACTCTTGGCTATATCAAATATTTCAGCGTGACACAACCAAATCTTTTTGCTTAAAATTTAAACCAAAATTTTATAATAATGCTACTTTAATAAATCAAGATCCCAATGTGTTTTATAGTTCAATTATTTTTGCATTCTAATTAAAATTTTTATAAGATTAAGAATCGGAATGCTTCTTGGTCGGAGTGTTATAAGGTAGAACAAGACCTTTTAAAAATAACAAAATATGAATCCTAAAGATATTAGAAACGAGTAGAAATTCAATCTATATTTATATATTATTAATATTACAAATAAAGTGATGTCACCTTAATCCATAAATTAACATAAAAATCTCATCATGTAATAATAAGACATAAGTTAGTAAGGGTATATTAATTTTTTACTTTTCTTGAAAATATAATTTAAATTCACCTTTTTTAAAACTTACTTTTAATGTCTATTTTTTATATATTTCAAAACTATGTGTTAAATTATTATTGTTCTTTTATATTTTCAAACAATTATGACTTTTAAAATTCTTTTCTAACATTCGCAAATAATAAAGTCATTTTAAATTCATAGTGTGCCAAGGTTACTGTTGCTCTATGCCATCGACAAGCAAAGGTTATCATTGCAGTTTGCAGAGCCGGTGGTCAGCGACAAAAAAACGGCTGTTGGCTGGTCCAACCGCCCCCAGGGCAGGGCTGCCCGACAACATTGCCAACCTAAATAGTAACGAGTTTGACAGAAAACGTGGATGTTGAATTGGGTCAGAAATAAACTTTACATACTATAATGAATTGTTATTAATATATAGCCCATATTCAAAGTCCGACCCATATCGGCGTTGGCAATTGGTTGGTTATTTATTTAATAACTTCCGAGCTTTTTTCCCTTTCCATATTTGTTAAAGAAGAAAAGAAAGATAAAATGAACTTGTAAATGTAGCATAATAAATCAATAAACATTTATTATATCTCTATTTCAATCAAAAAATAAAATTATGTCATATAAAGAACATATTAATATATCATCATATAAATGTCAAGATTTATTAAACAAATTCACCAAAGTTAAATAAAAAACGTATGTGACAGACAAATAGCAAAATATTACTAAAAAAAAAAAAACGCACACTAGATTTTCCTTTTCCTTTTTCTTTTTGATTATATACGAGAGACAAATGTAAGAAGAAACAATTAAATATTGTCAATAAATATTTAATAACAATCAAATTCTAACGCCTATGAATCAATAATTATTTTCAAAAGGGGTAAGGAACTCAGATACAAAAATTTGAAAGCATATTTTTATAACCTAAAACTTGACTTTCTTTTTTTTGAAAAGTAAACCTAAAAGTTAAGTTACCCTATTTGTGTTTACCCTACGTTTCAAGAACAAATATCAGACAATGATTAATTCGGCCTGAAATGTGAAGGCGGAAGAGTACCCAAAACCCATTATTGTGTCGAGTAATGTAATACTAGCATTTTGTTGATGTCCACATAGAAATATCGCACGTTAAGCACAAGAGAAAAATGGAAGGTTAATTGGATAAAGGCTTGGAGACAGGTCTATCGAAAGCTAAGGAGTCCAGGCCTTCAGGGTCCTACAATCTCTCTCTAGTCTGCATCCCAAGTCCCTCGCATTTTTCGTTACTATAAAAGGGCAAACAAAAATCCTTCACACTGTTCACCCGCCGCCTCCTTTCCAAAGCATGGCTTCCTCTTGCTCACTGTTCCACTCCTCTCTAGCCTCCAAATCCAACTTCCTCTTGCTCCATCATCGAAACCACCCCAAATTTAATCGCCCAACTCCTACTGTTATCTCCTGC